GATGCCCTGACAATCAAAATTGCTATTGAAATTGATAAAATGATTTATTGTCTTAATCCTTGTTTCTGTAACGAGGCTTCTTGGTCTGTTTGACGCCTTTTATATATATGTCCTTTTATAGCTTATTTGTAGTTCTTGTCCCCCCCCCCCCCCCCCCCCACCCCCCCCGCATTCACCGGCTGTAAATGCCAGCGGGAATTCTTTGTTGTTCGTCCACTTCTGGATTTTAGTCTTGTACTAAAACTTAAACTGCACACTGATCTGGCTTATTAGTACGTGACTTATTTCCTGACCTCTTAGGCAGAAGTAGTCAAATCACTAATTAATCAACTCTTACGGCATGTTTGTTAGGAAGGCAGTGGGTGTATTTCCTCCTCCATATTGGGGTACCGAAACCCACACGAGTAATTTGTAGTTTTTACTTTGGAAGAGCAAACTATCCGTTGCATTCCCCAGAAACCAAAACACTGCTGCCTCTGTATTCTTCCTAATGTATGCGTTAACACCACAGATATTCTCTAACACACAAACAGAGCACAGTTGAGATACAATTTCACTAGTCTCTTTGGGAATTAGTTTTCAGCTTGCATTAGTCACAGGTTACCGTGTAAAGCCTGGCCTATTTGCGTGTTGGGCGGAACACAACCTGAGTTGTTGGTTTAGTAAAACCCTGCTCCATTTAACACATAAATAAACAGAGGGGGAAGTCCCGAGGCCGTAGAAATTATATATTATATATATATATATATATATATATATATATATATATATATATATATATATATATATATATATATACATATAAACAATCATACAGTGTATTGTTGGGCACCGATAGAAGGTAGTAGAAGAATGTGACACACTAGACAACATAAAAATGTTTATTATGTGTTTAATGTCTTCATACGATAATTATACATTTTGATATTTATGTTGTCTAGTGTGTCCTTCTATCTTTCTACTTCTTTCTATAAGTGCCAATCTGTTTATATATATATATATATATATATATATATATATATATATATATATATATATAATCATTATCATCATGTGCTATTCCGGCTGGCATGTGCGATCATGCCTCTCCCTTTGGCAACCCTTCATGCCATGACAAAATAATGTCAAGAATCTTCTTACGCTGTCTTTCTCTGTCTCTCTTTCCACAGATTTTCCATTTTTCCTCTTCTTATACCATGACCAAAAAATGATGAATGACTCTTTCTGATGTTTGTTATAAGTTGTCTTCGAGCACTCGCCTTTTTTCAGAACATCTGGGTTGCTCTTTTTAGCTGTCCAATTAATTCTAAGGATTCTTCTGTAAAACCACATCTCCGTGGCCTCAAGATGCTCTAGTACTTGTATTGCCGGTGGTCAAACACTTGTCAGAAATATAACTGGCCAGATAGGCAAATGATTCAGCTCGGAGATACTTCAGTTAAGTGATATTGTTTTATTCTCGTTCGTACTTGCAGTGTTGTATATTCATGTAATGTGCTAATGAAGGCTCTCTGGCCGCAACGTTTACTTGTCGTTTGTGCTTGTGATAATTTGAAGTCGACTGTTTCTACTTTTCATTTGGCTGGATATCCTTTCGTTGCTGAAAAATCCCATTATTGGCAAAAGTGTCAAGCCTGGTAGGCCATTGTAATTACATTACTAAATTCTCAAGTATTGATTATTGCACATCGCTAGCAGTTTGTCCATATTGACATAGTAACTTTTAAAAGTCGATATTATTTTATCGTGTCGGTGGCATCGCTTCGTTGTCATTGGCCCAACGACCTCCATGCCTATTCATTGTTTTGTTATCTTTATCCATTCTCAGACTTTATAGCATATGTTATTGGTGAAGACCATCATTAAAATAGGAGTTGTAAAAGATGCTTCTGTTTGTTATTTTATTTGTTGATAAAGACTACGGTCGAAATTTTCGGCTGTATCTCTGCGCTTCTTCTTTCTCTCTTCCTCTCCAGTTGACTTTCATAATTGTTATTTCTTTTTTTTCTTTTTCTGAGTTCACCGGCTGTAAGCTTCCGCGAAAAGTACTGGTTGTTCGTCCATTTGGACTTAGGTTTTGTGCGAGAAACAGAGTTTTGCGTGTGCATCCGTTTTAATGGCTTATTTGTATGTTGGCTGTTCCTTACCGCTTGGACAAATGCACTCCGATTTCGAAGAAAGCGAACAACTAGTCAACGCTTACAACATGCTTTTTGGAGTGACAGTGGGTCAATTCTTGTTTTTTTTTCCACAATGGAGCGACCGAAATTACAATATGGAGGAACGAGACATCAAACTGAGATCACGTGAGATAAAGGTTAAACAGTTCTACAGTTTGTTTATGCAGAGGGGCGCCGCTATTTGTTAATGGACCATTGGAGAAGAAGCCTGTAGGAGGAACACATAGTAACCTGTGGGCCTATAGCTCAAAGAGGTGGGCTGGAACGTGCACGCATGAATTCACCCTGAAGATGCCAAACAGAAGGTTATGTATGAGACCCACCATAGCTGAACTTCCGTGTGGGTACGACTCTTAATAATGATGCAGCTGTTAGTATCTTATGTCCAACTTGCATCGATCTTTAAAACCCATCAGTAAATTACTCAGAAGAGGGTATATAAAAAACGCTAATATTTAAATGTCATTATATACAACACACGGTCCCATTTGATTTCCCATCGTGGTGCCGCCCTCTAGTTGGGGCGTTAACCCAAAACATGCGCAGCAGGGGGTCGATATCTTATTCCGGTGACACGAAGAAATCTCGCGCCAAGATTAAATAGGATATTGCCAGGTTGACGCGTGGCTTGTTGAGGGTGACATAATCCTGGTAAATTATATCACTATTTGTCCTTTCTAGAGTCAATGTTGCATGGATCCCGATTATGGCAGAAAAACAGAATGTGACGAACTTAAATCTCCAAAGAGTCGTAAACTGGCTACCTTACGATATGTATTACATTCGGCCTTTCCACACACTCAGATTTCACCTAGCATTGTATTGTATCTGTAAAGCTTGTGTTCACTTAGCAAAAACCATTACTTTGAATATCATTAAATTAATGAACGAAAGCATGTGTGGCGAATGCATACATTTAAATATACGCACGTACAAGCCACCATGGCGTAGTGGCTAGACGCCTTAGAAACCGAAGGTCGTGGGTTTAGGTCGACCCAGCTTTAAATGGGTACCAGGTAAACTCATGGGAAGGTAAGACAGCCGCCGTGATTATGACAACAGCCCCCACCAAGTGCTGATTGCTCTATAAATCTAGCTCTGTATTCCCAATACACCTGAGGGCGTGGAAAAGCGTCCTTTACTTTCTACACACACTACACAGACACAACGCATGCATAGACTGACGCAAGCACACACACACACACACGTAGAGACAACACAGAGAAAAACAACACACAAACACGCGCGCACACATACAAACAGGCCCATGCAATGATACACCAGTGGGAATCAGCTCGGTTATTCTATATTCCAAGATGGCCACCAAAGAGGAGATAATTTTGATCACGCTATAGACCGCCAGGGAGATATTCATGGGAATCGGATGTAAAAGATCACTGAACTCTTACATTACAGAGATCAATAAGTCAAGTAAATGACCCCCTTGCACGCCAGTGGCCCATCGGGCGTTTGGTGTTAGATTCATATTTTTGTCTGACAAATTGACACTCAGTTGTTGATACCCCCGTGTGGGTTGCGGGGCCCTACTATGGGAAAAACAAGAATAGACCCACTGCCTACCCAAAAGCATGTCGTAAGAGTCGACTAATTGGCAGCTTCCTTCGAGGTCTGAGTGCATATGCCCGAGAGGCAAGGAACCAACAGTCTGCATACAGATATGTCAAACGGATGCACAAGCAACACTCAGGTTCTGGAACAAGACTGCAGTCCAGAAGTGGACGAACAACCAGAATATAGTCAAGAAATCGACGGTCACTTTTTTATTCAACTCCCCGGGAGACTAGCTGGTACTTGTTTTAGGCTGGGTCGAATGGGTTCTTCATGGTGAAGAGATCATGCCGTTTGTCTCATGCTCTTATGGCCGTGGATTTGTTTCACGGCTGCGTCGTTCAGTACACGAGTGAAATTTTTACTGAGATCTTCGGGGATTGTCACCGGAGCTACGGAATTCGTGCTTTGTGTGATGCTTTCGACAGGCTGCTAGCTGTTCCGCGGAAAAAGAGTCATATGGGGTCAAAACCAGTGCAATGAAGTCGATCCTCTCTTTAAGCTGGGGCAGCCTGAAAATTCCGCCAAGACACAGATTCAAACCCAAGAATTTTGGGATTGTAGGCGAGCATCTATCATCATCATCATCATCATGTGCCCTGCCAACTGGTGTAGGCGCTCATACGTCTCCACAGATCATAATCCTTGGTTGACTGGAATAGCTCTCTTGATGATATTCCTGCATGCCATCGTTTTAGCCCATCCAGCATCATCTCTCTTGGTCTACCTCTACCCCTTTTCCCACTGATCTTTCCAGTTGTCACGATGTTCTCCAATGTCTCTCTTCTCATTATGTGCCCAAAGAACAGTGTTTCTCTCTTTATTATTGTTGTATATAGAGATCTACTTTCATTAGCTTCTTTCAATCAGTCATTGTTAGTTACTCTGGCTGTCCAATTTATTCGTAACATTCGTCTCAGAAACCACATCTCTGTTGCTTTCAAATTAATCTTAATTTGTTCAGTGACATTTCAAGATTGGCTGCCATACAGCAGAACAGGTTCTATGTAACATTTTAGTTTAGCACCCTCTTTCCGACAGTAAATGAGAGCAATTTATTGCATAAGATATTTTTCATCTATCCATAAACAATTTTGTGTTCATATAGCAGTAAACATATTTCCGTATTGTGTAACAACACAAAAGTGTGAGGGAGAAGGTGACAATGCATTTGCTTATCTTGCCCTACAGTTAGTTAATTTTAAGTAGAGGATTGAATAATTGCAGAGATCACCTGTCTTGTTTTCACAGACGGCCATGTGCAGATTGTGACTGAAGCCAACACAAGCTGTCTGAGTATAGAGTCTGTTACCAGATCCGATGCAGGAAAGATGTCTGTCTGTCTGACCAGCTCCACTGGTGCAGACCAAGCTTCTACAAATATTTATATAGAAGGCATGTGTTTGACTCTTGTCTGTCTGTCTGTCTGTCTGACCAGCATTACTTGTGCAGACAAAACTTCCAGTAATATTTATATTAGATTCTTGCTTCCACTAAAATTTATAAAATAGGAACCTGTTATGTTTTGTGTGACTGATTGGTTAGAATGGTAGTCTGTAATTAGGAAATACTAAATATGAGACAAACTGTGGCTAGAAAGCCCAGCAGAGGGTAATGGAAAGGGCATGCACAAATACAAACCAACATTTCGACCAGTCTTTGACCCTTCCATTCCAACCCGCTGAGATTTCTAGTTACAATTTGTGTTTAGCTTATCTTAATATCAGTTCAACTGCAGAAGCATTTATTTACCTTCTCTCAGAAGGGAGGCCTGGTTTTGCATCCTTAGTAAGTTGATGGGACAAAAATACACATTTTAACTTGCAGAGTTCATAGCAACTCACTAGCCATTCAGCCTTAAGTCCTCTGGTTTAAGACCCTTAAACCCCCCTCCCCCCTACTCTTTCCACCACCACCACTAACTTCCTCCCCTAAACTACCAATTAAAAAAAAAGTGTTAGATACTGGCAGTATCTCTAGTTCTCTTCTCGTATATCATTATAATCTATTTCTTTGGCCTTTGGGGTTCCACTTCAAGAACATTATAGTTATATTACCATCATTTAGGGCTTAACTGATGAGAAGAAATGAAACCATAAGGGATCAAGCAGTAAACAATTGGTGCTGAATAAGCACAATACATTTTATGGAGGAGCTTGAAGACAGCAGAGATATAATAAAATATGTATTATGAATACCAAAAGAACATATATGAAGCCAGAACAAATACAGAAATGAACATTGATGATTGAAGCCAAAGGTGCAAAACTGATTCCTTCCATGATTTCATAAGAATTGCACAGGATAAAACTGAATTGAGGATTGGACTGTGAGATCTATGGGACATATAATGGCACAACAGGACAATAATGCTTTACAACATCTGTATAAACACTGAGACAGTAATAACACAATGAAAGCATACAAACAAGATGACCAAACAAACAGCTTACACAATCATTAAGGATCTGAGAAGTACACCCTAGCACAGGATAAAAGAGTGCATTGTATTCTATGATAATTTTATTTTACCTTAGGTGTGTATTTGCACAGAAATAGGGTTCAAATAGTTTGCAGTTGTGTCTGCTATGGTTGATGATATCTAAAATTTGCATGTAAAATTCTTCTAAAATTGAACTGTTCAATACAATTAGCACATTTTGTGTGTCAGTCCTGGATTAAAACCATGTAATATAAATATACACACAGATCATATGAACAAAAAAACAAGCAAACCCCCCCCCCCCCCCCCCCCCCCCCCCCCCCCCCCCCCCTCCAAAAAAAAAAATCAGTACAGACATTAAAAAAAGTGTTAGATACTGACAGTATCTCCAGTTCTCTTTTGGTATATCATTATAATCTATTTCTTTGGCCTTGTGGGTTCCACTTCAGAAACTAATCTACCTGTTTAAAAAATAAAAAAAAAAGAAGAAGAAGCAATCATCGATGACAAAATGAATGTAACATTGTATCTAGAAAGCATTCATCGGCATACAGCATAAACGGGCAGTGACACAATTACAAATAAGAAAACATAAATTTACTTACCTCTACGGTGAGGTTAACTGCTTATGTAGTGTAAAAGAGAATGTTTCTTTTGTGTTTGTGTGTGTCTGCATGTGTGCATGTTTTTTTTCTCATTAAGATTGGAATTTTGTGCAAAAACATTTCATTCTGACTTGTGTTTCTAATAAATCTGACCAATCAGATGTACCCGGCTGTCCAGTGGGAAGACCTCATGTTTATGAAATTGACAGAAACTCCGCCTCCCTTTCATGGTGTGGCCCTGCCTACAGTGAAGGGTGTCAGGTGACACATTACATCATTGAGTCAAAGACAAGACAAGATCAGGGTTGGGATGTCATAGTTCCTCATTGTAAGGTAGGCTGCTGTAGTAACTGGTCTTACATGACCAATGTCACTGTTCTGTACCTAAGCTTGGCTCATGGAGTAAGTTGTTATGTGACTAAAGTCACAGGTAGTAACATATATTATATGGCTAACATCATTATTATCGAAGAGGGTTGGCTAGTAAAGACATTAAAACAAAGAAAATTGAAATATTTTGGTCACTTGAAACGTCATGGAAGTCTAGAGAGAACAATAATGGAGGGGTATATGCCTGGGAAGAGAGGAAGAGGAAGGCCAAGGAGAAGATGGGTGCAGGATGTGGCAGATGATCTCCAGATGGGTGTATCAGACGCAGGACATCTTGCTCAGGATAGGAAGGTTTTCCGGAGGGTTGTTATGGCAGCGAGGTTCCGCGAGGGACATGCTACTGAATGAATGAATGAACATCATTATTACATGATAGTAAGTTAGGATTCTTGTGTAATTTGTGCTGCGTGACTAATGTAAAAGTGGTTCATTATAAAGTAGGCTGCTGTAGTAACAGGTCCTAAATTACAAGTGTCATAGTTCATCAGTGATTCCAGTACTAACCTATGGATGCGAGAGCTGGAAATCAACGAAAACTCTAGACACAAAACTAGACAGTTTGGAAAATAAATGCCTTAGAAGAATACTAAATTTCAAATGGTCAGATTTCCGAACCAATACACAAATAAGGCAAGAATCCAGGCAAGAGTATGTGTCTAATTTTATACGAAAACGCCGCTGGAACTATGTTGGCCTTGCCCTTAGAATGGATAAATCAAGACTTCCTTACCAAGCCCTCATTTGGACACCACAGGGGAAAAGATCTCGTGGAAGACCACGGGAAACCCTACGTAGAACTATCATCAGGGAAGGCTCACTCATGGGCCACTCAAACATCCAAGACCTACAACAGATTGCAACGAACCGCCATGCATGGAGAGTCATGACCTCTGCCCTATGTGCCGCACTCGACACAAGAGGAAAGACTAACTAACTAATAGTGCATCATTGTAGGGTATGCTGTTAGAGTAATTTGAGCTACCTGAATAATATTATAGTGTTTAGTATCACCCATGTCGCCTGAACACTCCCTGCTGCACAATTATGTCAAAACTGTTAAGTGTTGAGTGAAAAACTGACATCCGAGCACTCGGGACTATAAAGTGTATGTCCAGACTGTAATGATCTAATCAAGCTTCTTATTATTTACTTGCTCTCAAAGAGCCTTAGCCACATCTAGCTTCTCAGTTATCAGTTCACCATTTAGTGGTGCAGAACCACCCAGTCTGTTTGCCTGTTCATTTTCCACACTTTCATGGACCCCCCCCCCCCCCCCCCCCCCCCCCCCGGGAGAATAGTCTGAAATTTCTTTGGATATTCAGCATTTGGCTCATGTCTGATGTATCAGAGGTTCCTGGTAATTGTTGTTTTCTGTGGGTGACCAGCCACTGTCTATTAGAGACTGACCCATATATGATAAATCCCAAGGTAATGATCCTCTCACAAAGCTCAACTTTAAGTGACTGATTTGGTGGGTTTGCAGTTCATATATCTGTTCACTATGTATTGTTTAATTCGTTGCATGTGATTTTATCCTGATTTTATCCCCTTCAGGATCAATCATGCCACATTCAAGATCTCAAACCCTGCACCACATACCAGTTTCGGGTCCTGGCCGCCAACAAATATGGCCTCAGTACTCCATCAGAGCCTTCGGAAGGAGTCTACACTTCTGATCCTTATAGGTCACCTAGTGATTACGAATCAGAAGGTAAGAAAAAAAAACTTATTGCTGCTCCTTCAGCAACTTCCATTTTACTCATTCTTTCCTCAGCACCATTCTTCTTCACTTCCTTTTTGTTTTACTATGATGGGGGTCAAGGGATCAATATTGTTTAATCATTCTCAGCTAATCCCACATGTACGTAAAGTGTTTCAAAAATCTGGCTGATGTGTTCTAGAACAACATCCTTATTTCTTGGTCACAACTTTGGCTAGCTGGCTAGTAAATTACACACACTTCTTTCCAAATTCCCAAAACCAGAATCTTTGTGCTGTCTTTAAAGGGGGAGGCATAGCTCACTTTGAAGATCACTGATTTAAATTAAAGGTACATACCAAAAACAAAACACATCTTTCACCATAGACCAGTACATTGTTGCATACTATAAGAGTTGAACAGATATTAGCACTTTCAAGCAACAGATAATATGTAATCCTTGAATAATGAGTCCTATGTTCTCTGAGTTTTTCTTCACTTGGCTTAAGCATAATAAAATCTGGCTTTTGTAGTGGCAACTTCCACTATATATGTTTGCCTATTTGGAATAAATGGTTTTGTGATTTTTCATATTGGTTGTTGGACATCTGCTGCAAAACATTTTGGTATTGAAAACATAGTTTAGATGATGTAGCTTTATTCACCGCAGTAGTTTGATTATGTAAGCTTTCATTGTATTACTAATATACAGATTATGCGATATGTAATGGTTTAAATGTAAAATCATTCCTGTAGTTACTTTTGTTAACGGAAGTAAGAAATTATCTCTTTAATAAGGTTGACAAAATTTATTTATATAGGTTAACAATCAGACAAGTCTGAAGCAGATCAAAACACTTAAGTACTTAGGGACCCTGAAAACAGCAGATGGAAGATATTTTAAAGAAGTGTTTAATATTAATAGCGCAAGCAAAAAGTATTATTCACTAAGTGAAGAATACTCTTTGCAATCTACTTCTGTTTAACTGAGGTGGGAAAGAGAGTTCTTCAGCTTTATAGAGCCATTCCAGTCCTGATATACAGAAGTGAATCGTGGGCAGTCACCTGGTCATTGAAAAATGATGTGGAAGCTGCAGTAATGTGGCTTTATAGACAAATACTGAGGCAGATAAAAATAATACTGATGAAATTTTGAATCAGATATTTTTTGCTTGCACTAAAATGGTGGGTGGCCAATTACTTTCAGAATAATTTTTACCTTTGTGGGTGCAATAAAGCTTCCATGATTGACTATTTTGACCAAAAGTAAGCTGCCATTCTGGAGTAGGACTATTAGTGTTGGAACACATGGCAGCTGTCTTATGCATGTTTGCCTTGTGTGTGTAAGCTTACAGATTTTACTGGGACTGACAAGTTATTCACTGTTTTTCAAAGGGACAGTGAGAGACATTTTGTGTGATTTCTACTGGCACAGGAACAAAGCAGTTATGGAACACCTATCTGCAATGATGTTAAAGCTTTGATGAACTAACTAACTTAACTTTAAAGAAATTAGTTCACAGAGAAAACTAACTTTCTGCATTTTACATATTACCAACAATCAACATTCTTTAGTAATGTGATGAGAAGGGGTAAACAAGAACCTCATTACACCAGGAAACAAGGAGCAGTTGATGGAATCCACAATCCTTTGATATTTCAGGTGAAATTCACAATCCTTTTGATATCTCTGATGGAATCCACAATTCTTTTGATATCTTGGATGGAATCCAGTCTCTCACCTTCGGCTTCTGTCAGCAACATTTGTTTTTATGATTCCTCTTGGATATCCTTGCATCCTGAAGCCACCTATAAAATTTTTTTATTTTATTTCGATGCCCGTTTAATGATCTCTGCAAGCTAATTCTCTGGATGTCCCAATATTGTGCCACCTTCTTCATCTTATAGTTGTTGATAACAATGGTTGATCTGAACCAGTGGTTATTTTACTAACAGTTTTACCTATCACATAGCATTTTATCAGTTCAAGTATTTCCCAGTATACAATGTTAGTATATCTTTGAGTTTTTTTACTGTGTGCCCACATCATCACCATATTGTTTTTCCATTCATGCATCACACAAGGCTCATGATATTTTCCTCCTTGCCATTCTGTCCGGTGTAAGATCATGTGTGCAAAGTCAAACACATCTGACACTAACATTCATTATAAGAATTTTTTTAAAGCATCCTCGCTTCCTCAATCCATTGTCTGTTTTGTGATAATGTGTAAATTTTATTTCCTTGTGTGCCCAGAATATCACCATCTTCTTTTATTTATAATATTTGATACCATCTGGAGTCTGGAATTTCTCTGATTTCTTCACCCTTCCTGAATTCAAACTATTTAACATTATTTATTTTATGATTTTATACATCCATATTTATTTCTGCTGAGTATTATTTCATGAAGTAACCACTCATCACTCAGTCTGACCTTGCCCTACTGTGTTTAACAGTTTATGCAGACGTATTTTCTCCAAGTATTGAAATTAGGATACCAGGTAAATGGGAATGAACCTCTTCTTTCTTTTTTCCAAACCAGAAGAATGTTTCATATTTCACACACAATTAACTTGTTATGTCTTCTATACATATTCATACTGTTTGAATAATTGTATTTATATAAGCATATATTGCATTTGTTTTACTAATACAACTTTAACTTTTGTAGTTAAATTGAAATGAAAATATGTTTGAAGATTATTAATAAACTCAAGGACTCCTTTCCCACCAATGGCACATCAGGGATATAGTGATAGGCTTACATTTTATAGACCAATCATCACTCAATGGCTGATGGGGTCAACATCATTCTGACTACCTTTACTTCCCAGGATATTTCCTGGTACCAGGTTTAGGCTGGGTTGACCAGGGAGCCAAACTCAATTATTAAAAAAAAAAGCTGAACAAATTTATAGATTCTAACCCGAGATCTTTGGAAAGGCAGTCAAGTATCTAACTGCTACACAACAATGGCTCTGCTGTATCTGACATATTTTTCATGTTTATCCTTCACCTCTTGTGTTGTTTGTCTCTAGTGATTTCTGATATTGAAATTGTTCCATGTGAAAATGGAAACTTTTAAGTGCAGTTTATTACTCTTTAGAAAAGATGTTAAAGGGAAATTGGTTTCTTTTTTGTCTTTGTGAATTCCTATCATGCAACATAATGCACAGTTAAATTAGAAACAATAAGTTATTCTTTAAAAACAATGTTGGCATGTTTTTAGCATGTTTACTGCACCTGCCATTCTACATGATTGCTTGTAAGTTACTAATATGCTTCCATATTTTCCATTACTTTTCTTTGTTTCTTTGCTGTTTATCAGTTTGTGCATTGAGTAAGCAAGTCACCAACATAAAATGTTTATTTTACATGTCCTCATTTGCATAATATATCTCTTTTCATTCACAGTTCTTTTAAAAGGCTTTAACATTTTTAATTTAATGCTTTATATTCTCTAAAGAAAATGGTGACATATAATTTCGTTGTGTCAAAGTATTTACATGAAAATAATTAATAATTCATCTACATTTTGAAACTTGAATTGATCTCAGAAATATGAAATAATTACTTTGCTAGTTAATTTATTAGATCAGAAAAACACTAATTACAAACTTCAAGTAAAAGTACAAAGTGCTGATAACAGCAACAGTATTGAGGTCACAGTGAAATCAACAAATACTAGCATCATAACACAACAAAGAGTTCTTTTATTATAGTAATTGAAGTAAGTAAAGGACCCTTCTTGTGCCAGTACTACATCAGGCATATGGTACTAGACTTTTTTTATAGACCAGTCAACACTTGATAGCTGATTTGATCAACACAGCCACCTTTACTTCCCAGGATATTTCCTAGTACTCATTTTAGCCTGGGTCAACTTGGGATCCTTGATTATTTGTATAAATCTGATTCTGTTTTGATGCAGACTCAAACTTTAGTCTAGCCACTGTGCTATCACAACTCTCCTTTGTTATAATAAGTAAACTTCTTCAGTCTCAACTATTTAAATGTTTCAGTTCTAAAAAATGCATCTAGTATGAACAGCTACTGCCCAAATAATGCATCTAGTATAAGCAGCTACTGCCCAAACAGTGCATCTAGTATGAACAGCTACTGCCCAAACAGTGCATATAGTATGAACAGCTACTGCCCAAACAGTGCATCTAGTATGAACAGCTACTGCCCAAACAGTGCATCTAGTATGAACAGCTACTGCCCAAACAGTGCATCTAGTATGAACAGCTACTGCCCGAATAACACATGATTTGATCCAATTTTTTAATGATGAACATTTGACATGTTATATTAACATTCAACATAGTATGTTTTGTGTTCTAAGTCAGGGCTGTTCAACTGGTGGCCTGCAGGTCAAATGTGGCCCACAGAGGTGTCGTAAATGGCCCACGGATATTGCCAGTTATTTTGTTTCAATTATCTTTCTATGTCTGGGCTTGAGCCTCAGGTCATGGCGATCCTATTTCAAAACTTTGGCCCCTAAGTAAACTGCTCTGTTATTTGCTGCCCTCATGAAAGTAATGCATGTTCACTTTATTCCTTGTGGCTAAGTTCTCATAAGGTTTCTCAGTAATATTATTGGCAATAAAAGTGACAGGCATTACAATCACCACATCACTCATCTAGTGCTGAGAGATCTTTTAAAAAAAAAAATAAGTTTCACATTCTACCTGCCCTGTGTTCTTCTTCTCCTTCTTCTCCTCCTCCTTTTACCACTTTGAATGTCGAAGAAGGTTTGAAGTTCTGCTTCTTATTTTAAGACTGCCTCAACATGAAGGCCCATCATTCTATGGTAGAGTCTCTCTGATGGTATCTTTCCTTCTTTGTCCATCTTGTGCTCTATGACTTTCTCCTCTTATGTGGCATCCCAGTATACCTTAAGATGTAGACATGTGTCCTTTACTTGTTTGTAAATCTTGCATTGAGAAGTGTGTCAAATGTGTAAATAAGTCACTTGTGTGTAATTACTGTATTGTCTAATTGCATGTTTGACCCCATTGGTTGCTAAGTCTTCTGCTGCATCATGTAGTATCAGCAATCATTATCAAGTGCATTTGTTTAAAACCAAGGTGAATGTTGTTTTAAAGTTCATATTAGACTTATCTATAAGGCTTATATAAGACTGAATGTACTCTAAAGTCACCAGAGTTTGAAAGTTTGTATGGGAAAGTTCAGACAGTAAGAAGGGGACCCTAAAAAGCAAAGAGGAATAGGAGATGTGATGATGTGATGAGGACAGAAATTGATCATTATGTCACATATATTGGCCTGTGACATCATATCCTAATATGGTTTATGGTTACCTTTTGTGTAGGTAATTATGTTAAACCTTAGAGATACCTTCCTTTGTCTTAAAAGTGGAACACAGACTGAATAAATGGCCATGTATTAGTATTAACTCGTATTAAAATTCCAATAAAAATCCAATTTGCAGCCCTGTGGCCTAGAGTTTAATGAAAGTGTCTCACAGTTTCAGGGTTCAGTTTACTCGGTGGGCAATTCGTTTAAAATAAATAGACAGCTCTTGCTGCCTTAAGACACTGGTTGAGTCATGTTGTGAAAGAGATTGGAGCCTTAACCTATAATATTCCCAAAGACAGTAGTGGGAGCAAACATCTTCATTGTGGAGATGGCACACAGTGTAAAAAAGTCTGGCACAAATTGCTGAGACAATAACTTTGATAGGATAACTTTGCTATTCAATGAGAGTTATTGCTGGAAGCATAGTAATACAGCGACTGCTTACTAAAGTCCAGGAAAATATTAACTTCAAAGAAAACCAACCACTTACTGAGTTTGTGAACCATTATGCTCTACCCATGACATTGGAGAACTTTATGGATAAATAGCTCTAGAGGCACAAGAGAGCAGGCAATTCATAATTAGGACCAAAAACTGCACAAGGAGATGCGAGTAGGGCCGTCTTAACAGCTTTATATAAGTCAAGTTCAGAGCTGTGCAGTAGACCCACTTTCACAACCACTCATAGAAATAGTTTTTCTTCTTCTCACTTCACCCTTAAAAAGGTGGTTGGCACATTGTGTTAGGGTTTACAGCTAAACTGTGTTATCTGTTTATTTTGGTTCAACACATCTGATTTCAGCAATTTGTCACTTAGTCTGTTATTTTTACATCCAAAATGGGACTCTGGAGTCCCCTGGGGGTGGGGCAGGGAATACAAATGTAAATTATAGATAAAATTAACCTGTATTTATTAGTACCTCCAATAAAATTAGTGTTTTGACCACATTAAAAAAATGTATGTATCTATGCTTTATATCCCTCAGTATGAATTACCATCCAATTACTGTTTTCATGTCAACGGTTTTAATAGTTAAGTTCAAGGCTTATGTATATATATATATATACAGCAATGAATAATAAATTCAGCCATATAGACAACATAAGCCTTGAACTTAACTATTAAAACCGTTGACATGAAAACAGTAATTGGATGGTAATTCATACTGAGGGATATAAAGCAAGAGCATATTTTGAAATTACTATTAATTATTTATTATTGATGATATATTCATCGCAAACCTATGGGGAATAGAATGTTAAAACAGATGATAGGTGTTAATTTCTTTGTCTGTTTTTAAATTACCCTGCAGCGTGTTTTGCTCTTGGAGCTCCTGGCAACTACCCAGCATGCCCTGGTTTTTGGACAGCTCTGTGTATAAGAAAAATTAAATTCAAGTTTCCTTTTTTGACAGTTTTTGACCACTTGAACCAATCTATCAGATATGTCACTACAATGAAGGTTGGATGCAACATATCTTTAAGACTTTTTAAAAATCTTTGTCCATGTTGTCCGTTATTTCAGACTGCTGTTCAATGATCTCTTAATTGTTCTTTATTTCTCATCTTGTTCCCGACTTTCAACTGCTTACCCCTTCACCCACAAATCTTTTTACAAGAATATTATATCTTTCAGCATGCCTAAAATAATTCACTACTTTTTCCTTCTGTGAAGCTGAAAACAAAACCAAAAAGAAAAAAAAAATGTTTTTATTCCCCGTCTCTTCTGCAACCTGTAAATGTGTTTCTCTTTCAGTGAAATATGGCACATTCTGTATATATCACATCTCTATGGCCTTTACTCTCTAATTACTTAGTCTCTGGGTCTCTGTGACACTGGCCTTAACTTGACTCTCTAATTACTTAGTCTCTAGGTTTCTGTGACATTGGCCTTATCTTTACTTTCTCCTTACTTATTCAGTCCTTAGGTATCTGTCACATATAGTAGGGTTGAGTGTACGTAACCTCTAAAGTTTAAAATAGTTCAGACTGCTGTTTGACAGGATGATTGATCGGTTTGTTGATTGATTGATTAATTAAGAAACAAAGCCCAGAACACACCCATATGTTTCCTTCACAGATTTATGAGCCTATGTAAGCTGTTTATTTCTGTATCTTACTGATTAACACATGTTAACTGTAATTATTATCTATCAGTACTGTTGTACATTACCTTCATGCATTATACATATAACTATTATCTATGTATTTGTATTTTTGTACTTTACCCCCATGCATTATAAATGTCAGTATTGTGTATTATACCAAAATATTATTTGCACAAGCAACATCACTAGATGCATCTGCTGTAGTCATTTTCTTTATATCTGTATAATTATCTATCCCTATATAGAGTGCTTTAAAAATATATATATATATATATTTCATGAAAATTATTCACAACTCAAACACAATTCAAACATTATATTGATACCATAATGGGAATAGAACAGTTATCTAAAATACATATAATATGAAACACCAGTGATAGAAAAAGAGAAAAGAAAAATTACAACAACTGAAATGAGATTCCTGTGAAGGGCTCTCAATACAAAAAAAAAAAAAAAGATAAGATCAGAAATGATGAAATCTGAAGGAAAATATGGGCAATGGCAGCTCTGGATTTTATTTGAAGACAATAGGTGAAATGATTTGGCCAAATAACACAAATGAAAGCAAACAGTATACCACAGCAAGTAAAGATGTACAGACCATGCGGGAAGCAATGAAGAGGCCAACCATGCAAACGGTGGACAAAGGGAATTAGAGAGTCCCTGGAAACCCTCATTTATAAAGCACACAAACGGGTGCTTTCCTGTGAACTATAGTTCACCTCGACACGCAAGGTACAAGAGGATCAGAATGAGATCAGATGAAAATACAATAGTGAAAACTATGTTATAAATTTCAGTTATCTGATGTATATCTCTTTTTTAATGCAGAAGGGTTGAAGAAGATTTTATTATATAACCACTACTACTTGTTTTAAATCACAGGCATTCTTAAAGCACTTTGTTACTAAGATGTTGATGATTTTTATTATTATTATTATTAATATTATTATCTGCTAAAATGATATGTGCATGAATAATGTATGCATGGAGTGAGGCCAGAAGTGCAGAATATAAGATAGGTCTGTGTGCCCAATTCTTAACCCTTTGAAAATAAAGTTTTTTCTTTTGTTCATTCATTTCCTGGATGTTACTTGCATTTGAGGCCAGACTGACCTGCTACAAGAGAAAGAGTTAATAATGAACAATACAGTACTTTAGTATGTACTTAAACTATTACTTTACACACAAAAATACATCTTTTCTGGACAGATGATCTGCCCTTTGAACCCAGAGAGGTAAAGATAAACATGGGTCAGCAGTTTGAGGATGTGTATGAACTGCACAAGGAAGTAGGCAAGTGAGTATCAGTCTCTTTCTCTGTTGTTGCCTTCTTTCTTGTCTTTATTAAAGATTACTACTAGAACAGTCAGTGTCTAAACCTCAAGACATTAGTGTGAGTATGTTCAGAATGCTGTGACGTATCCATGTCAAAATAAAAGGCTCTGCTCAGGAGGAAAGGTTAGTTGCGTATCCTTTACAGGACATTGCAGAACCAATCCCAACAGCCCCTGGCTGTTGTGTGGTTTTTCTAGGCAAATTTACGTCTAGCAGTTTGCCATTGCTTGCTGGACGGTCGGCTTTCTTGATACCACTTCGAAACCAATGCAAGGTGCATAGCCCACAGCTGGGATCGAACCCGGCATTTCGAAGCGTTCGCATCAACTTTGCCACAGAGCCGAGGAAGGCCATGCAAAATATGGAATTAAGATCACAATTAAAGAAGTCTCCTCATTTTTCTTCTTCTTTATGTTTACCAGCAGTAAACTCTAGTTGTTTGTTCCCTTCTGGACTCTATTCTTGTTCCAGATCTTAAATTTTGTGTGCACATAAATTTTATAGATCTGGTTTACTTGTATGCAGACTGTTGGTTATCACCTCTCAGGCAGATGCACTCCAACTTCAAAGGAAAACTGCAACAAAGAAATTAAGATAAACCTGTACAGCAATTTATAAAGTTATGAGTTATGATTTGGGTTATCTTCACGGCACTCCTTACACATCCATAGTTGCTCAGATTCCCCCTTCAGCATATTCATCAAGACTGCAGACCTGTATGATATCCTCATCTGCTCTACCGAGCCATGAGTTGCCCCCTTTTTAGCCTGTTGCCCTTTTTCCTAAAAAGAACATTGTGCAGTGAGTAAGTAAAGTAAAGATCCCTTTACACACCCTTGGGCGCATCGGGCATATGGGAAGAGCACCCATATTTTTACAGACCAATCGGCACTCGGTGGGTAATGTGGTCAGCATTACACCGGTCGTCTTTACTTTACCAGGACAGCCCATCCTGTACCCATTTGAGGCTGGGTTGACCTTCAACGTCTTATACCACGATAACAATCTACACAGCCCGCAGTGGGTTTCGATCCTGGTACGTTGGATTACGAGTCGGACTCGCAACGCCTTAGCCACGGACGCCGCCACATTGTGCAGAGGTTGTTTCAAGTCCTAGCTTATCTTCGGGTATGCATGCATCCTCCAGATCTTAAACATTATCACATGCAAACAGAAGTGCCTTATACCCCCACTCCCCCTTTTACACTTCATTGAGATAACTTGGAGAAGAAGAAGAAACTGTAGAATATTAATTTGTTTAGCACTCCTGATTCATGTTATTTTTAATATTTTCAAAATTAAGGGGCAAATTTGGTATTGTGTACAAGTGCAAGCACAGAACAGATGAGACAATCTGGGCAGCCAAGATTGTCAAATGCCGAGAGCAAGACAAGAAGGTCATCAGACGAGAAATTGAGATCATGAATAAACTTCGGCACCCAAAACTGCTGATGCTGTGGGAGGCTTATGAAGCTCCGAAACAAATGGTGTTGGTGACAGAATAGTGAGTATTACATAATTGACTTGTTCTACCCGCAGTACATAAGCATCTCATCATTTACATGATATTTAGTATTTTATGCAGCTATATTGCATGAACTGACATTGGTCCACATTAAGTCCAAAGGAGAGATAGGCTTGTTTCTTTTCTTTTTCTTATATAGTGCAGTTCATACCAGACAGGTTTTTGTTGTAACATAAATTATGCTCTGTTTTATTGACTGTTGAATTTTCCAGTCACAGTTAGTGTTGTATTTAGTACTCCATTGGTGAAGACTTTGCTCGAAACATTCAGTTGTATTTGCAGGCATTTTCTCCATTCCCTCCATTGAGCTTTCTAAACACATTTTATGTTGTATTTTTTTTAACTTTTTGAGTTGTGTATTTGTGTGTGTGAAATTAGCTGGAAATTTAGTTTGTGACTGTGTGGACTGTCACAGTTTGAAAGAGACCAATCTATAGAGCGGAGACGTCTGAGAGAAAACCAGCCTCAGAACCACAGTGCATCAATGTTTCTATGTGGACTATGCCAAAACCAGGAGTACAACTTTATGGTCCCCAGGGATGGACAGATGCCTGTCTGTGTGTGTGGAATTGGCTGTGATGGACAAGAATGAGAAATGACCCCGCCCCCTTTCCCTGTATTTCATGGCCTAGAATGTGTCGAGTAACAAATGAACTAAAAATTCATTCCAAGCAATTCAGAGCTTCTGTAAGTATAACCACTTCAAAATCTGCATTCACTGAGTAGTATTAAGCCATGCTGAATCCATAGTTATTCAAATAATGATCCAGTTGAGCAGAAGCTTAAGTAACAGTTACAACAAAGTGGGCTAATGTTGTACATGTATGAAACAGAAGGTGTTCAGAAAAGAGGAAATGCCAGTAAATGTGTAATCACCTCCTTGGTACCGAATAAGTTGAAGAAGGCAAGCACGCTGCATGCTAGAAGCATAATAATATAGAACATCATTCACTGGAATGCAAGAAATATGAGCTCCGAAGGATACCCAAGGGGAAATATTTGACCTTCTGCGATAAACCTGTTGACAATGGAAATATGCTTAAGAAAGTTAGCTCTAGAGAACTGCAGTGAAAGTTAAAACAGTAAAGTGCTGTATACACGAGGGAGATGAATGGTTGTAGACCATGAGGCAGACCAAGAAGACGATGGAGAGATAACGTCCAGACAGACCTGCAAACACTTGGTGTCACCAACTGGAAAGAGAAGGTCAACCAGAGAGATGAACAGAGGCAGGTGGTATCTGCAGCAATGAACTTCAAGGGCTCGGAATACTGAAGAAGAAGAAAAATAGTGGGTTTTAATATTGCAAAGCTTGTCTTGACCAGTACGCTATATGACCTTGGTTCTCAGCGTTTCTCCATTTTCTAAAAAAAAAAAAAAAAAAACATGCTTTAAAAAGTATGGAATTTAAAATTATATAGTTTTAAAGCCAAGTTATATTCACTATATTATAATGTTTGTCAGTTTTAACATATGCCTGTGAACATTGGAGAAGCACAAGACATAGCAAGAAAGTTAAATGCATTGAAAAGAAAATACCCGAAGAAACTGATGGACGTGAAATGGGATGAACTGAGTGACAAAGGGTGAAGAAGTAAGAGAAATGTCTGAACAATTGCTAGTAAGTAAAGGACCCTTTTCCGCACCTTTAGACAATTGCTAGTACCAACACTTATAAAACAAAGATGATGAAACTTTTTTCGGGACATCCTGAGAAAAAGTCAGCAGAGAATCACCAAACAGGCACTGAAATGGGAAACTAATGGACTGAGGCAACTAGGATATCCCAGAGAAACCCTGAAGCAAACCATGATGAAAGAGGCCAAAGATGCTGGGCTGGATGTTATCTGTATCAAAATGCGTGGACAGGATAGAATGGAATGAGAGAAGTATGTGATGTCTAATAGCAAACAGAGTGCCAGCTATTGACCTATCCGTATGAATCTGTTGACCACGATTTCTTTGAGTGCCCAAAATTCAGCGTGACTAGAAGAATGCTACTCCCTCCGAGACCAGACAAGTGGAACACCTTATACGGAGGAAAAGAACAGCTTGTGAAAACATGCAAATTCCACTACATGGCATTGGGCCAGAGGGCGAAAGCTCATGCGCCGCTGGATCGATAATAACAACAACAAAAGCAAACAGGATGAGGATAAATAATCATATGAAACACAAAAAGAAACTTAAGTTATTTACACTCAGTTAATTTAACATGTTTAATTCCCACAGTGTGAGTGCAGGCGAACTGTTTGAACGAGTTATTGGAGAAGATTTTGTGCTAACCGAATGTGACTGCATCCACTTCCTGCGGGAGATTTGTGAAGGGGTAAATTATATGCACAGCAATAACATCCTTCACCTTGACCTCAAGCCAGAGAACATCCTCTGTATTGCTGAGAATTCCAACAGGTAAATGCAACTCTTTCCAGCATGCTTTGTTGCAATGTACTGTTACCAGTCAATATTCCTTTGTGTGTGTGTGTGTGTGTGAGTGCGTGCGTGCATGTGTGCGCACAAAATGAACATGCAGAGTTTTTTTTTTTTTTTTTTTTTTAAATATGCAGAAACCATGAGTGGTTAACCCTTAGGCTCGGTACTATGGATATCGCAACCCTTTGGCCTTGATTCCATGATAGATACCATAATTCTGGTAGGAAATGTGGCTTTTCTGCCTACCCCCGGGAGTGAACCCGGACCACAAGGAGTTTGTCACCCGGCAGTCCGGTTTAGCCAACTACAATAGAGAGCTGGGCTAACGTATGTAGGGAGGTAGGTAAGTTTTCCCCCACCAGATCATCACACAAACAATAAAAACCTGGTGACACAAAGTGCCACCATGCGGATGTGGATCACCCATGGAGAGGTATCAGAAACACTGTTCAGCCGTTAGGCCACATGTATGTTCCGGCTGTATTTAGGTTCCCCCGGCAAAAGCCGAGGTGTTGCTTCAAAATAACCGTAGATGCAGACAGATTGGCTAGTTCTTCACCAGTTGGTGATGAATTTATGTATGACAAGCTAGATGTGATTAAGGCCCTTTGGGAGCAAGTGAACAATTGCAGATTCACAAAACAATCATATGGTCCAGAGAAAATGGTACCGCTGGGAGGGACCTTGGGATCTGGTCGACACTCGGAGAAAAGACAAGATGGACATATCAAACTGCTACTGCCAGCATCAGAATTTGAATATTTTTTTTGCTGGCTTCTGAATATGAGTCGGCTCTGTGGCTAAGTCGATGCAAACACTTTGTTATGCCGGGGTGCCGGGCTCGATTCCAGCTGCGGGCCATGCGCCTTGGGTTAGTTTTGACAGTGGTATCAGGGGGCCGACCGCCCAGAAGCAATGGCAAACTACTGGACATAAATTTGCCTAGAGAAACCACACAACATCCAGGGGGTGCTGGGGTTGGTTTTGCAACGTCCTGTAAAGGATATGCAACTAACCTAACAGAAGATGAAATACATTTGTACATACTATGCTAGGTGTTAACGAGGAAAGATCGACTTAGGAACGATGAAATCAGGGGGAGAGTCGACACAAACTAATACTGAACTTTATAGGTAGACAAGTCAAAGGGTTTGGCCATAAAACAAGATTGGCATCAGACAGGGCACCACAGAGAGCAGTATTATACAGATACAATAATAACAGATCCAGAGGTCGACCACACAGAATATGGACCACAGCAATGTCAGAGACACTGAAAAGTACTTTATACAAAGCGAGCAGAAGGTCCTGTTTCAGAGACATCTTTCTGCCCTGATGCCGTGAGGCATTCCAGGAGAAGACAAAAGAAGAAGAAGAAAAAGAAGAGGACTGAAGATGAGGGCAGAGTGTCTAAGGGAATCATGACAGTGATGGTGTCAATTCTTAGCTCAACACTCCTCAGTAAATCTCACAGCATGTAGTGGCTGACGACACCAGTTCAGTATTTGTTTATTCTTCTTCTTTAACGTCCTGCATAATGCTCTTGTCTGGTCTCACCCATGTTAATTTATTCATACAGTCCAATCATAGCTGCAGATTCAGTCTTCAACACTGTCGTAAAATACTGGGAACTGCAGATTTATTGGAACTGTGTTACATCTTTGTGGATGTCTTGTTTTAACATTTGTCAGTGTCATTTTCCAGAATAAAAATAATCGACTTTGGATTGGCACAGTTCTACCATCCAGGACAGAGTACCAAAGTATTGTTTGGGACACCAGAGTTTATTGCTCCAGAAGTCATCAACTACGATGAGATTGGGTTTGCAACAGATATGTGGAGTATAGGCGTCATTTGCTATGTGTTGTAAGTACTTCTTGTCATAAACGTTGTAAGTACTTCTTGTCAAATACTTTGTAAGTACTTCTTGTCATATACATTTTAAGTACTTTTTGTCCTATACTTTGTAAGTACTTGTCCTAAACTTTGTAAGTACTTCTTGTCATATACATTGTAAGTACTTTTTATCATTTGCTATCTGTTGTAAGTACTTCATGTCATTTGCTATGTGTTGTAAGTACTTCTTGTCATATACGTTCTAAGTACTTCTTAGCACATATGTTCCAAGTACTTCTCATCATTTGCTATGTGTTGTAATTACTTCTTATCATCTATGTTGTAAGTCATCACCATCATCTCATCAAACTGTGTGTTATTGGATCACCAGTTTTTGCTGACTGTCTTATCAGCTCTGTGCACCTTTGGTGGTCAGTTGCGATGGACTTCATGGTTGTATGTCTGAGGCCAGTCCAGTCAGTCAGGTTCTGTAACCAGGTCTTTCTTGGTCTGTCTCTTCTCCCCCTTCCCTCTACCGAGCCCTGCAGGATTGTTTTTGAGAGGTGATTAGTGATTAGATCTTATTACATGTCCCTGCCATTGCATTTTTTGCCTTTTCACTCAAATTAAAATAGGTTCAGTGTTGCCAATGTGCTGTATAATGTTAGGGAGAGCCTCTTCGTTTGTAATGTGGTCTCTGTATGATATGCCAAGAATTTTCCTGAAACATTGCATTTCCAATGCTTGTATCTTTCTTTTGTGTTCAGTTTTTAAAGTCCACATTTCATAGCCACGTGTAAATGTACAAATAGCTAGTGCTCTCTTGTCATTTGCTTCATCTTGTAAGTATTTCTGGTCATTTGCTATGTGTTGTAAGTACTTCTTGTCATTTGCTTTTGTGCCATGAGTACTTCTTACCATTAGCTATGTGTTTTCAGGACCTTTTTTCATTTGCTGTGTGTTATAAGTACTTCTTGTTATTTGCTTTGTGCCATGAGTACTTCTTGCCTTTAGATATGTGTTCTCAGGACTTTTTTTCATTTGCTGTTTGTTTTAAATACTTCTTGTCATTTGCTTTGTGCCATAAGTACTTCTTGCCTTTAGCTATGTGTTCTCATGACTTTTTCCATTTGCTTTGCTTTAAGTACTTTGTGTCATTTGCTTTGTATTCTCAGGACTTTTTTCATTTGCTGTGTGTTATAAGTACTTCTTGCCATTTGCTATGTGTTCTCGTGACATTTTCATTTGCTGTGTGTTGTAAGTACTTCTTGTCATTTGCTTTGTGTTACGAGTCTTGTCATTTTCCATGTTGCTTACTTCAAGTCATTTCCAATCCTATGTGCTTCTTGCTATTTTCTTTCCATAAGGGTCATTTGTTTTGTGTTTTAGGTACTTGTCATTTGCTGTGTGTTGTATGAAGTTATCTTTTGCTGAATTGTGTACTTCTTGTCATTTTCTATCTGCTTTACTTCTTGTCATCTGACACTTCTTCCTCCCATTTGCTGTGTGTTGAACCTCTTGTCAATTGCTGTGTATAGTACTTTTCTAACAATTTCTATGTATTGTACTTTGTCATCCTTTCATTTCTTGTCTCTTTTTCTGTGTATCAATATTGGTACTAAAACCTGATACTGAAAGTTTCAGTGGTTTAAAAAAAAAATTATTTTGTGCAATCTACCTTCTTTATGCAGACGGCTCTTGCTCGACTGAAGTATGAGAAAAATGTGGCTAGTTCTTGCCCTTTGCCTATTATTATATATTAATTATAACACTGTGAATATTAGTTTTTAACACTATTTAATTGTACTCCGAGTGTGGGTTCCAGAGCCCCATTGTGCCCAAACAACCAACTGCACACAAATCAGCCAGTAAAACGGATGTACACACAAAACTCAGGCCCTAGCACCAAGTGAAAGTCTAAATGGACGAACAACCAGAACTTTCCGCTGGAGCTTACAGCCAGTGAACAAAGAAGAAGAATTGTATACAATTATAATTGTTTTCTTTTCTCAGTAAGTCTGGTCTATGTATAAAATATTTCTAGTTTCTCCATGTATCAAGCATATCAGATGTATTTCCTTACAGATTATCTGGTCTGTCTCCTTTTCTGGGTGACAACGATGCAGAGACACTGGCCAGTGTAACAAGTGGGGAGTATGATTTCGATGACGAGGCATTTGATGAAATCTCTGATGATGCCAAAGACTTTATATCCAGACTGCTGGTTAAGAGGAAAGAGTAAGAATTGTTCTTGTCAGTGTGTGCATTTGGAGTTGTGGTATAGATGTTTTGGTAGTTGCTTGCCAAAACAGTGGTTGAGGTTCATGCCAAAATAGTAGCAAGGCTTTTAAAACTAGTATAGATTTGGATACACATGCCCAAAAAAACCCAACTAAGTACATTGGAACCTCAAAGTACAAATTTGATCCATTCCATAAATGAGCTCGTTTGGTGAATAACTCATAGACAAACTATTTTTTCCCATTAAAACAATGTAAACAATTTTAATTTGTTGCAGCCCGATAACAGTCACCTAAGTAGATACTGTACGTTATAAAATAAAATTATGTTTTCACTACACTGTTACTAGTGAATTTTTGTTTTTATATGCTAATTTAAGCAGCCTAGTTGTAGCATTCATTCTGCCATTCATGATTTTTTTTTTTTTTAGTTTATCAGTTATACTTTCTGATTTTCTTGCTTTACTTTTGTGTAAAAACAAAGAGGCATTCCAGAAGTAGAGAAAAGAAGGAGAAGAAGATAAACGAAATTGATCAGAAGCAATTTACACACATTTTATTTTAATACTGCTGTATCATTATCTTCTTGTTTATATGGCCTATGAAGCAAGCCTCTTATTATTTTCTTCTTGTAAAATTGGTCAGTTGCACTTATACTTTTTTTTGTTGGTTTGCTTATTGCATACACAGTCCACTAATATATGTTTATACACTTCGGCCTGCTCTGCAGTGTGTTAAACAAAAAGTAAGTAAAGGTCTTTTTTCCACGCCTTTACGTGTATAGGGTATATAGGGCTAGACCTTTATTTTTTTTGACCAATCGGCACAAGATGAGTGATGTGATCAGCATCACGCCGGCCGCCTTTACTTCCTGGGACTGCACCCGGTACCTATTCAAGGCTGGGTTGACCAGGAAGTCAAGGTCATTTTTTAAACAAGTCCAGCTCTGCCAGGGAGCGAACCCATGACCTTCCGTTCTGCACTCAAGCATCTAGCCGCTGCGCCATGGCGACTCCCGCAGTGTGTTAACCACTTAAATATTACATTCTTCCATCAGGCCATCTTCTTTCATGTGTAGTAATCTTAGGATCTAAACTTTTAATTCAACTGCTAAATTTTTATGTTGGACTCGAATTGTGTTATGCATTAAAGACCAGATGGTCTTCAATTTTGCAGGAGTGTTTTAGCTAGAAGTCTCTTGGAATATGGTTTGAGATAAAGTTGATTTTTAGCTTTTTACTTTCTTATTCCTCAACACACCAGGATATGCTTTTAGGTGTGGAGGTTTAGAAAAAGACCTATCTGCTGGCTTTCATACACTGGTACAAGAGTCACACCATTGAAAAGATTGGGGCATACCAGGTAATATTCCTGAAGAAAGAAGAGAAATCAAATATCCCACTTTTCCTTGTGGGTTCTGCAGCCCCGTTTTAAGGAGGGGATGAGGTGGGAAGAACTGATCCATGGCCCCAGAACAAGCATGTCATTACAATGCAATAATAAAGGGTTTTCCAGAATTGGGTAAAAAGGGGCAGATATTGCAGCCTAACTATAAACCAAAACACAACGTGCCACATCACAGGCAAAGGAAACAATAGGCATATCTGATGCAGCCAGTCTCTGTTGTGGGGATGCTGTAAATCTATCATTATTAATTGTTTTGTTTTGCAGGCATCGTCTTCTAACTGACCAGTGCCTGTCTCATGTCTGGCTGGCGCAACATGAATCTGGAAGTGTACGTCGGCGGCGACTCAATACGGAAAGACTCAAGCGGTTTATGGTTCGACGGAAGTGGCTGGTATGCAGAGAACATCATCATTATCATCGTCATCATCACTGTCATCATTATCATCATCTTCATCATGATCATCATTAGGGGGTCTCCTTGGCAAAGTGGCCAAGCCGTTTACCTCACACTCTGAAGGTCACGGGTTCAATTTATGGCTACATCATATTGTGTGTCTTCTCAAACTCATTTGTACTGATTTACTAACTGAAGAAACGACATGTAGCACACCAGGTATATCCAAGGGTGCTCTGTCTCCAGCAGCAAATGTCTTAAGGTGTAGATGGTAACTGTTCCCTTAGCACACTGATTATAAACTCATCATTCTCGCCCTTTCATACGTCCCTCCTGCCTATTCCACACCTAATTCCTCATTTACACAATTTTTTTTTCAACAGATGTTATTTACCTTTTTACTTTATTTACTTATTTTAAAATATTTGTAATAATATTTTGTAAGTAAGTATGTTAGAAAATAAAGGTTAAAGTCGAGAGGATCAACTTCATTGCACCGGTTTTTATCCCTTATGGCTCGGTCTCTCTCTGCAGAACGGCTAGCCGCCTGATGAACTCCGTAGCTCCAGCAACGATCCACAGGAACCACTGTAAAAATTGCACTTGTAAACTGAAGGTTGCAGCTGTGGAGTGAACCTACGTCCTTCAGAGCACAAAGCAAAATAGCTTGACTATGTTGCTACAGAGACCCACCTAAGTAAGTATTAAGTAAAGTGGCACGCCTGTGGGCACATCAGGCACTTAAGGCTAGAATCTTATTTTTATAGACCAATCAGCATTCAGTGAGTGATGTGGTCCATGTCATGCCGGCCACGTTTGCTTCCCAGCTTATTGCCTGGTACCCATTTTATGCTGGGTAGACCTGGTATATTTGAGTAATCCAACATCTTCAAACCATCTCACTCTGTTACTGTCCAGTTTTTTGTTTAAAAACAAATTAATTACTACTGTTTTTGTTTTTCCATTATTACAGAAAACTGGGAATGCAGTTCTAGCAGTCAGCCGTCTACTAAAGTCCACTAACCTCGGCGCTCTTAGTTCACTCAGCAATAACAGCGGTGGTAGCAACGAGTCAAGTGATACAGAATCTTCTGTTAGCTCCCCAAAGTTTACAATACAGAGAAATGCAGACACAGTTCAACAAATTTTACAAAACCAAAGTGTACCAGAAAAAACTTTAAGGAACCAACAGATTTCAAAGTTGTGGAGAAATACATCACCTGATGCAGTAGAAAATGTGAAAGCTGATCAGTTGTCCGATGTTGGTCTTGTGGAGTTAAGTAACAGTGACTTTACTGATCAAAATGATAATCAGATTCACAACTCTCAGTCAGCTGCATCTGGTAATGATGATAATCATAATATTAATTGCCCAATGCCAGCTTGTACAGACTCTGTGAATTCAGTGTCCTCCTTGGATACAGCATTATGTTCATCATCTGCAACTGAAATCAGAAAAGACACAACAACAGAAGTAGTAAAGGGTTCAACAGCTAACGAGGAACAATTGCCTGCTGCTCCAATCTTCGTGAAATCCATGATAAACAGCAACGCCTGTATAGGTGATGTCGCCCGGTTTGATGTTGTAATTGCTGGTTATCCACTTCCTGTTGTTACTTGGTGTTTTGAGGGCGAGGAGGTACATTCAGACTCTCGACACGCTGTGGAGATAAATGAAACAACAAAGTCATTTTCTCTTATTATCCGCAGTATTGTGGAAGAGGATGAGGGGGAATATACATGCAAGGCTGTTAACTCTCAGGGCGAAGCTATTTGTGTAGCAGAGTTGTCTGTTCTTGATATGTAAAGCTGGAGATTAATAAGGAATCCGGTCTGTATCCTGACAGACCTGCACAAACTGACTTCCTCAGTTCACTTGAGTACATTTGTTTACATCATAAAATCAGGTTATGGAATCAAAAACTAAGGTACAATTTTGAAAGACCACATTATTCTTTTCAAGTTCAAACACCAATTTTCAATTGTTGTATAGTTTTATGACAACTTTTGTTAATGTAAAATCTGAAACAATTGAAAATTTTTTTTTTTTTAGTAGTTGATAATTTCAACAGTACATTTTATATCACTCCCATTTTATAAGTGTCAGCATTTTAATTTACAATCACTTTGACTTTTATCTTCAGTGCCTTTTCCCTTAAAATGTGATATACTGCTTCCTGTTTTAAATTGTGTACATTTCTCTTGCCAACCATCAGGTGAGTTGCCTGCATGAACTCGCATGTCAGTAGCAGGTCCTTCCTGATTGCCCAGAGCTTGCCCTGCACACTTTGCTCTTGAGGCCACGTGTCTTCTCGAAGTTGTAGGTAGAGTTGGCAGGTCAACAGAATGTGCTCAGGTGTTTGTGGTCCTGTTTGACAGGCACACTCAGGGCACTGTACAATCTTAATTTTATGCACATGGGTCTCTGATTCAAATTCTCTTATTTTAGAAAATAAAAATGTACGTTTGCTCCCAGCCTAAACTTGGTACTAAGTAATGTCCTAGGACATAGGGTCACCCGCATTATGTTTATCAAACAAACCTTTAAGTGCTGTTGGTCTATACAAATATGAGTCCAGCAACATATGTCTGATGTGCCATTGGTGTGAAAAGAGTTCTTTACTTTCCTCTTGATTTAAAACTTGTGTGCACCGTTTTCTTTCTTCTGAGACATACTTTTAAAAACACAGCTACAAGTCAGATTAATCCATAAGTAGGGTGACCATATCATGCCAGAAAGGCGACAGGTAATGGAAAGGGGAGAGGGAAATACAATCAAACAGTTACTGGTGCCATCAGAATTGGAACTCTTCGTTTGCTTCTAAAGATTGGCACGGAGCGCTTATGGGAGTGTCTCGAGTGCTATGATGTTGATTCTTAATTCTTAATTCAACATCTTGCCATTTTTGATGGGACTAATGTTTTTTTTAGGTAGGCCCAGACTGTCACGTTGATGCTCCCACACAACAGCAAAAAAACTGCTGTTGTAAGTATCGTCACAATGATCTGGGTCTACTTAAGAAAAAACGCATTGCTGTCCTGATGAAAACACTACGATATGGTCACCCTTTTCAGAAGACAGAGCATATTACTTTATGAAGTACAAAGTAATGCAGTAGCATGTCATGATTGATCTTCATAGTGTAAATAACTTAATGAGAGTTGTTATAATTACATTATTTCACTTTTTAAAAAATCTTATCCTTTATTTGTCCACATTTGTTCTGGTTTTAATTAACTTGTGTGTGTTTATGGCAAAACTGTGATATTTTTCCTTTTTGGCTGGCACATTTGTGGGGGGTGGGGGGGGGGGGGTGTATTTGTTTATTGATTTAGCATTCCCACTACTTTTACATATTTTAAAAAGTGATTAAAAATACGTATTAACATTTTAAAAAGTGATGAGAAGATGAACATAACTGCACCAGATTTGATCCCATCTGGCCTAGCCTGTCTCCACAAAGAAGTTGCCCACCTGTGGAGAGGGTTGCAAAAAGCACCCTTTGTGGCACCAGCAATGATCCTTAGCTTTCATGAGCTGAAGGACACAGAAGAAAACTAAACCTATGACCTTTGCAACATCAGACCCCTTGTTGGTTCAACCACCGGGGCTAGCCATGTCCCCTGAAGTATCCTCAACACAGCCTGATGTTCCACATATTCGGCTTGTATTTCATAAAAGCCATTCATCTGTGCAGGTTCTTGCAACGTATCATTTATCCTTACAAATATTATAACAGATTGTCACATATTCTGTCTGTGGTTTTTTTTCTTTCTTTGGAAAGTGCAACTTTTTTAACATTTTACAAACACATTTTTCAGACCTTTAACATTAGCTGTTCTATTGCACATTGTGTTGATTCTACTCTGGGAGCTGTGGGGAGGGATTGGGGGGGGGGGGGGAGCTTCAATGGTGTCACATGCCTGATGACCTGACTCTTTTTAATTTTCAGTCCACATTAGAGGAGATTTTTATAATTAACCTATGACCTCCCAGCCTAAAATGGGTGGTAGGAAATGTCATGGGAAGTAAAGACAGCCAGTTTAGTGTTGACAGTTTTACCCAGTGAGTGTTGATTTTTCTTCAGCCTTGTGAGCCATTGTGGTTCATTGCTGCAGATATCACCCACCTTCATTCACCTCTCTGACTGGCCTTCTTTTTTAAATTTTTGTCACCCCAAGTCTTTGTAGGTCTGCGTGAATATTATGCCTCCATTATCCTCTTGGTCTACCGTGTTGTCTACTCTCATTCAACTTTTTTTGTATATAAAGTTTTTGTATCTTTGCTATTCCGTATACCTCAATTATTGCAGTCTATTAGCCCTAATGGTGCCTGTAATTCATGATTTTTAAAGATTATGATTTCCCATGTCTCTTCTCACTGTCCATTCTCTGCTGTTGTAATCTGTGATGTGTATTGAGTGCTGCTAAGTTGCTGTTTTGTTTTTGTTTTTGGAGGGAGGTGGTAGGGTTCCTAAGGAATCCCTACTGTAAATTAGAGATTCCTCTCTTAAGATATACAAATGTGTGCAAGCAGGACACAAATGATACAGGCATTGAGCTGCATTCATGGGAACAAAATGCCATGGAGGGGGGAAAGAGCAGGAAGGAATGACACAGGCATTGAGCTGCATTCATGGGAACAAAATGCCATGGAGGGGGGAAAGAGCAGGAAGGAATGATACAGGCATTGAGCTGCATTCATGGGAACAAAATGCCATGGAGGGGGGAAAGAGCAGGACAGGAATGATACAGGCATTGAGCTGCATTTATGGGAACAAAATGCCATGGAGGGGGGAAAGAGCAGGAAGGAATGCTAATGAAGGTAACAATTATTGCAGAAAAGTTGAGAGCGGAGCATCTGAGCAAAAGCAGACTAAATACATGGCAACAATAGTCCTGAAATCACATGCTTTTATTATGGACACCTTTTCTTAAAATGGGCAGATCTTGCTGGTCACACTCACCATAGCCGTGGGCTTCGAGCCCCATACCTCCCCATAGCACAATATAACAACACTATCACCTGGACAGACGTAAAGGTGCCAACAACTAAACAACATTGAATGCTGATTGTTCTATAAAAAATATGTTTAGCACCATATGTCCTTTACACCAGTGGCATGAAAAGGGTAATTTACTTACTCAGTTGATGCTGCTCTGTTAAACTGACATAAATGTGTACATTTATGCTGTCAGTCTGGCTCTGTATGCTCCACTCTTTCTCATGAGTCGTGTATTGTAAATATCTTCACACTGTGTGCACATTGATCTGTTATAAAATTCTATTGTAAATTTGTGGGGTTTTCGTACATTTGTTAACTTTGTGTGTTGTGTGATGTGCACATAACTTGGACATGCACAATCATATATTTTTTACACATTATTCTTACACATTATTTATCATGCCAAAGAATGCATGTTTATAGATAAGATTATTTGAATGTAAAGTGTAATATACTGGTTTTAATTTTTTTTCCCTCTGACATGGTTTTTGTCAAACATGCATGTTTGTATGCATGTGCTTTGAAAGCTCAGCTCCTTAACATACATTCCAAGAAACTGAAAATCAAGAGTTAATGTTTAAAAAAAAAAGGTTAATAAGTGTCAAGATCCTTGTAGGAGTGGAGATCTAATAAAATAATTCTATCAGCAAAACACAAAATATGTGATTATCATTGTGTATACCCAAACCACAGAAGCAACATGAACTACATTAAATAATGAAAACAATCCCAGGTTATGCTGTGCAGCCTGAGGCCAGTCATCGACCAAGCATACAAGCGGACAGTCTAGACAACTACATTGTGGCATTACTACAAAGGGGTAGATTAGTTGTAGTGGTTATTGTAATAGTGATGGTACAACTAGTAGTAGAGGTGATATTTGTATACATAAATTTACTATGATTGTCCTAACATAACAAGATGAAGGTAAAAGAAAGATGTCACTCTTTTTTAATTTGCTTGCAACTTGTGCACTGTTGTCAGATAGCCTGTTTTCATGGACACTCACTGGTCAGGAGAGTCTGAGAAGGCACAGTAGAGAATTATACCATGGCTTAGTAGTCCAGATTATTATGCCTACCTCATTGTGAGAAGTGAGCAGACTGACTGACTTTCTACCCCACAACGACATCACACAAGCGATAAACACCCGATGACACAATGTGCCACCGTGTGGATGAGGATCACCATGGAGAGGTCCCAAAAACCGTGTTCAGCCATTCGGCCATGTTTATGACTCGGCTATATTCCGGCCCCTGGCAAGAGCCAGGGTGGGGCTTCAAATAACGAAAAATGTCATCCTAAAAAGGATGGTAAATGTCTGTTTTTTAAAGTGAACAGAAAGTTCACGGAGTGGAAGAAAACCTAACTACCTGCCAGAATTGAGTGTATGAATGTCAGAGCAGCTCAGATGACCTTGTACATATGTGCCCTGACCTTGTTACCAGCCTCTTGAATCCTGATACACATAAACATTCCTGTGGGAACCAAATATTTGTTCATGTTAACTGAGTGTTTGTCTTCAGCAAATTCATGTTAACAAGGTTTTTACTGTATTGATATTCCTTTTGATTTTGTTTCCCTTGATCCCCAGTGGAGTTTAGGCTGTAAACCAACTTGGACCAACTTAATCTTTTTTCTGGACATGCTCTCCCTCTCATATCGGCTCTTTTTAGATAACATACCTGTGATGGTAACTTGTGTTTTTGGGTTCTGACAAGATACCAAAATCATTTGACCTTTTAGCTGTCAGTGGGTTCATCTGGATAAAGATTTGACCTCACAGTATTAAGGACAAGGC